CCCCCCCCCCCCTATGTCGTAGTGAGAGTGGACTGCCTTCGTCAACCGTTTGTGTCAAGAAATAACCTACTGATAGGAACAGGAAGATGCCACAGAACAAAGAGCTGAGAAAACAGGGACATTTAAAAAAAAAAAAAAATCATTTCTAAAGAAAAAAAAGAATAAAGAAATGTTTTATTTAAACAAAAGTACATTTAGATTTTAATTTTAAATATTCAATTCATTTCTGTTCAAAAAATAAAAAATGCATTGCAAAAATTGAGTAAAATCATTTTCGATTGGAGTGTCTAATATGCTGGAGCAGAGTTGAACAAAACGAACATGTGTGTTGAAAATTGTAGCTGGTGTATTTATCACCCTGCTGGTAACAGGACACCTCCATCAATTTCCCTTTGACAGAAACACCTTCCGACACATAGGAAGACCTGTTTGGTTAGGTGTAGTGTGATGGGGGTCTGTGATGTTAGGTGTAGTGTGATGGTGGCCTGTGATGTTAAGTGTGGTGTGATGGGGGCCTGTGATGTTAGGTGTGGTGTGATGGGGGCCTGTAATGTTAAGTGTGGTGTGATGAGGGCCTCTGATGTTAGGTGTGGTGTGATGGGGGGCAAGCTAGAGTCATACACGATCAAACAAGCTCGAGTCATACACCATCAAATAAGCTAGAGTTACCGAAACACATAGTGGTTAGGTGTGGTGTGATGGGGGTCGGTGATGTTAGGTGTGGTGTGATGGTGGCTTGTGATGTTAAGTGTGGTGTGATGGGGGCCTGTGATGTTAGGTGTGGTGTGATGGGGGCCTGTAATGTTAGGTGTGGTGTGATGAGGGCCTGTGATGTTAGGTGTAGTGTGATGGGGGCCTGTGATGTTAAGTGTGGTGTGATGGGGGCCTGTGATGTTAAGTGTGGTGTGATGGTTGGCATGTGATGTTAAGTGGAGTGTGATGGGGGGCTGTGATTTTTGATGGAGGCCTGTGATGTTAGTATGGTGTGATGGGGGCCTGTGATGTTAGGTGTGGTGTGATGGGGGCCTGTGATGTTAGGTGTGGTGTGATGGGGGCCTCTGATGTTAGGTGTGGTGTGATGGGGGGCAAGCTAGAGTCATACACGATCAAACAAGCTCGAGTCATACACCATCAAACAAGCTAGAGTTACCGAAACACATTCCAAGAATATCGTTTGCCCAACTTAATATCTCGGGTAAATGTGTTGAGAAGACCACCTGCAGGGGGGATAATTAGAAGGATAACTCTGGACCATTTGAGAAGCTGGTGTGAAAAGCAAATAAGCTTCATTGAATGTGCACCCAGATTGTTTATTTATTTGTGTTTAACGTTTGCATCTCAAGCCATGCAGAAAATACCCTAAACCAGCAACTTTAATGACATTTTTATTTGGGCGCTTTTTTTAAAAAAAATCTTCATATATATATTTTATATATATATATGATATATATAATATATATAATATATCTGTATGTATATGTATGTATGTGTGTATATATACATACATATATATACATACATACACATACATAGAGATATATCATATATATATATATATATATATACACACTCATATATATATATATATATATATACACACTCATATATATATATACACACACATATATATTTATTGATTTATTTCTACACACACATACGGGCAAACCAAATGATCCATCATGAAGAACATGTCAACTCTGTACTGTTGGTTGTAAGCAGGGACGTCATTTGGGGAGGACAGGG